AAACCAGAGGATGCTGGGGTGAGCACCAGGCTCAGGGTGCTCAGCAGGGTCCGGTTTGGGGCTTGAACAGGGGCCACGGGACTTGGTCCACCCTATTTGACTGTCGGGTGTTTGTATGTTCCTGAAACTTATTTTCTTCCCTATCCTGGATGTCAGAGCGTGTTTCCCATTGCTCCTGTTGGTCGCAGAGGGCTTGGCAGTGTTTGTTTGTTTGTTTGGTTTTTTTTGAAGGTGAATGATGGACTTGGTTTGTGTTGTGTGTTTTTAAGGGGTTTAGTCTTGGATACGGAGAGGAAGGGAGCCGGCGCACAGCAAAGTGAGTTGGCTGCGCTCTGAATTACCTGCTGCTGAAAAAAATTTTTCCAGGGGAAGAGTCTTTGCAACTTTGCCAGAAATCAGCCTGTCCTGTAGCGCTGTTTTGCTACGTTCTGTGGGGAGATTAATAGCTCTTAAAAGCAGGAGGGACTGTTATGACCGCTTAGGCTGATCTCCTGCAGAGCACAGGATGGAGAATTTCTTCTGCTTCAGGTCCACGACTTCTAGTAAAACAAGAGTGTTTCTCAGCCAGTGCAGTCAGCCCTGATTTATTCCCTTGGCTGTAGTGTTTCGTCTGATCCCCCTCTCCCCCTGCCCCATTCCCATGCCTCGAGACCGGACTGCACAACCCACGATGCTTTTCCAGCCGACCTCGTAGACCGTGGTATGGTCGGCAGGCTCGTTACAGCCCTTTTTGGCGAGGCGGGTAAAACATATGCTCCTCTTGCTGTTTTATGTCTTAGGTGCTGAAATTCTGGACGTGTGAATGGATCTGGTAGGATTGCTCTTACGGGGTAAGACGTAGCGGGCTCGCCATGCTCTGCCGGAGGCCCCCGCGCTGCTGGTCCCGGCAGACGGCCAGGAGAGCAGCTGGGACGTGTCTGAGCGCGGGTCCCAGGTGGGGGCTCCTGCAGCAGCATCTTTCCCACGGGCCAGGGCTGCGGCCGGAGCCTCGGGGCTTTTTACGTGGCTTTGACCCGCGCAGAGCTCAGGGGATGCGGACGGAGGGTGAAGAGCAGGAGAGGATGGGTGTTGGGTCGCGTTGGTGGCGGTGCCCGCCTCGCGCTAGAGCAGCTCGTGAGTGGCTTGAAAGAGGTACAAGTCTCTGAAAATTTATTTTTCTCTCTGTCTTCATGTTTCAAAGCAGCTGGATTATACTTGGATTATTTTCCCAACTTTCTGTTCACAGCTCTGCAAACTCGTGGCTTGTTTTTAGAGGAAAGCTGAGAGTTTTACGTCTTTGGGTGGGTCTGGGAGAAGAGGCTTTGGGAAGAAGAGCCAAGCTCTTAACAGGATTGCCCATGATTTGGGGAGGCAGACAGCTTGCTCGGCAGCCCTGACAGTGTCCCTTCGTGAGGTTCGTCAGGCAGAGGACGAGGCAGCATGAGACACAGACACCTCTTACGAGTAAGGAGATGGGAGATCGTGGAGAGAGGCAACCCTCCAACACCCCGGGCTGGTAATGGCCCTCCTCAAAATGCTCCTTGCTCAGCATCACCTTGTTAAAGGGGGACAGTTTGGAAAAGGGGTGACTAATAAAGCAGCCAGGCTGGAGTTTGCTGCTATTTTCAGCACTTGCTATGACAGAACAGAACTCGTTTATCATGAGCAACAGGATTGTGGTCCTGCTATTATCCTGTTACAATCCAGGGCTGAATTATTTCTTACAGAAGGAAAAATTCCCTGTAGAAAGGAAAAGAAACTTTGTTAGTGGAGGTGAGACTGGCAGACAACATCAACCACGTGCGAGCACCTGCAGCCCACAACTCGCTTAAGCCAGAAAGGTCCGGGGGCTGGAGCAGGAACAGGACAAACAAGGTCCGGGATCTGTTTCTGGCTCTTGCACAGACTGGCTCGGTGACCTTGGCCCAGTCCCTTCTCTCCCTTGTGTTCCTGTTTGTAATAGGACAGGGAGAGCCTGTGGCTTTTGTAAAATGCTCCAGGAGCAAAAATAGGCTTGTGTCGAGGGCAGTGACCAGCTGCTTGGAATGAATGGAGCCTTTGTAGGGGGTGGTGTTCTTCCCCCCCATGTTAGCTCCCAGTTATTTGTGATTCCTCAGGGGTTCGGGATGGGACAGCGGTTAAACAAATGGCAGAACTGTCTGTCTCCCATAGCTGACGTGCCTTTGAGCATTATCTGCATTTTAAACCTGTTGCCAGGCCTCTGTCTTGCACAAAGAGCTCTCTGGCTTGGCAGCTCCGTCCCCTTTTGGCCACCGAGGCAGGAGCCGATCCCATCCCGGTGGGACAAGGATGCACCAGGCTGCTGCGGGATGCGCTGCTCTGCGAAGGACACCGAAGGTCACCGAATCGTTATCGCTGTGGCTGCTGGCAGCCACCACCGAGTGCAGTGTTCCTGCGGTTACAAACCTTTGACTCCTTTCCCGCTGGCTGGTGCCCGTGCTGACGCAGGGGAGTGCTCAGCTTGGGCTGGCTGGGTCATGAGTCCATCGGCAACGGGGGCGGTGGCTTAACAGGGGCTCCTGCAGGGACACTGAGTGCTCAAGGGCTGTTTTGGGGTGTTTAAGGGCAAAACCAAACCAGAACCCCTGCAAAACAACCCCTGGTTGGCTAGATTTAAAAAAAAGGAAAGAAAAAAGAGCGAGGCCAAAAACCTGCTTGGAAAATAATTCTGCCTCCCTTGGTTCTGTGGTGGAGATGGATTTTATAGCTCTGCTCAGGGATCCCCTTACCAAAAACACCAGCAGACACCTGAAATGCCCAGACCCAGACGGGTTTCATTCTTAGAGTCAGACTCTGCTGCTTTCGTTGTGCCACTCATCATCTCAAGACAGCCTTGGAGAGCTGTACAACCTCAGCCGGAGTTTTGCAGGGCGCTGGTGGGAGTGGGTCCGTGCCTCGCTGCCCTCCCTGCCGGGCTCGGGTTCCCGGGTGAGCAGCAGCAGCCGGTCGGTATCGGTGGAGGACAATGTCTGTATCAGGTGCCAGGAACGCTCTGCAAGTTTAATGAGGCAGGACAGAGGTGCCTGCAGCCTTGGACTGGATGCTGCTGCCTGGCTCCTCTGCTTGTGTTACAGAATGAGGAGTGCTGGGTTATTCTGGGCTCTGCTTTGTCCAGCGTCCGCATCCATTTCTATTAACAGAGACCCAAACTCGGCACTTTTCTGCCCATCTCTAGTGCAGGACCAGCACTGTGTGGCTGAGACCAGGTCCACCTCTGCTTTATTTATTGTTTATCCGCCTGCCTTGATGCTGTAAGTCATGTTTTTGCTGCACTCTCCCTGTGCTGCCCAGAGATGGGCGCCTGCTGGGACCTCTTTGTTCATCCCGGGACAAGCAGTAATTCCTTAGCAAACAAAACCCATGGTGCCACGTATGTGACTCCGTGTAAAAGCAACCACGCTGCTGTTCTGTGCAAGTAACATAGTTGGGCAAGTGTCACGCTGAGACACCAAGCATTCGGAGCAAAAGGATATATCTGACTGGAGGAGCTGGGAGCTAACCCTCTCTCCTGTATCCTGGGCTCCTGTTGGGGCCATCAGCCCTTTGCCCCCCCGTCCTGCGCTGGTGTGTCCAGGCTGCTGGTTGCAGGGCAGGGCTGGGAGGAGCAGCCAGTGTTTTCTGCCAGGCTCCGGCCCCGCATGGAAGCACAGGGTTCATCTTCATGGTCACTGAAAGGCTCTTTGCTTTCCAGCCTGTGCCTTCGCTGGTCTCTGGAACTGTGTCACCATCAACCCCCTGAACATTGCGGCCGGCGTGTGGATGATGTGAGCAGAGTATCTTTTATTTTTTTTCTGCCGGGAGGGAGGTTGGGTTAATTGGACACCACTGGGCAAGGGGCAGAGCTGCAGGCTCCGTGCGTTGCCAGACCTTGCTCCATCGGGTGGTTCAGACACTGGGTTTATTCCATTTATATTCTTTCTTTACCCCTTTTTAGCTAAATACTGAGATACCCAAAATAAGTCTGGGGCAGCAGGGTTTGGGAATTACCAAGAAGGGGGCAGGGAGCGCAGTGGGGTCCAGCCCCACCATTCCCTTCTGCTTGCGTTTGGGCGTGGGAGCGGTGGGTCTCTGGGGGGCGGTGGCATTGCTGACCCTCGCTCTGGGCCACGCGTGCAGGATTAACTCTGGTTTGCTCTGTCTGGAGGCTCAACGCCTTTGTCCTGTTCCTGTGCGAAGCCCCCTTCTGCTGCCAGTTCATCGAGTTTGCGAACGCCGTCTCTGCGAGGGCCGACAGGCTGCGGTCCTGGCAGAAAGCTGCTTTCTACTGCGGGTGAGGATGCTCCTGGGGTGCGTTGGGGTGGTGAAGCCATCCCGGGGTGCACATGGGCAAGTCACGATGGATGAGCATCCCTGCATCCCGCAGGGAGCTGAGCCTGGCTTTGAGGGCTGCCTCTCTCTTCCAGGATGGCCGTGTTCCCCGTCGTGCTCAGCCTGACGCTGACCACGCTCTTCGGAAACGCCATCGCGTTCGCCACCGGCGTGCTTTACGGCTTGTCGGCGCTCGGCAAAAAGTAAGAGAGATCTGTCTGCTTGGGGAGGGGAGGGGAGGGGAAAGGAAGGCGGACCTCCAGCCCTCACCCCAACTTCTGGCATCCCTCGGCAGGATGAGGTGCTGGCCCTGGCTGGGAGACCTGTGCCAGGTGCTGTACCTGCCGCAGTGGGCACCCGGAGCTGATGTCCCCGTGCTGTCCTGTCTCTCTGCAGGGGAGATGCCATTGCCTACGCACGGATCCACCAGCAGCAGAAGCAAATGGATGAAGAGAAGCTCACGGGGGCCCTAGAGGGACAGGCTCTCTGAAGCACGCCAGCTCGGGGTAACCTCTCCCGGACACTGAAGTGTTGGTGAAGATACAGGAATCCACTCTGCCCCTCCCTCTGCCCACTCCACTCTCTGTTACACCACGATTTCCCTGGACACTGCAGCAGCTGGAAATCTCAGGGGCTGGGGCAGGCTGTGCCCTCTTCTCGCACCAGCAGCCAGACTTCAGCGCATTGGCCCCTCTCTCCTCCTCAACCAAATGTCTCACTGTCCCCCTATTTATTTTTTTCTTTTTCCTTTTTTTTTTTTTTTTTTCCTGCAGAGGTGTTGTCCCTTTGAGTGCTGCATTACAAGTCTGAACAGGTAGCCTTTCTTTGGAGTGATGCCTGCTAAGGAGCCGAGGATGCAGTGCTCACTTGGGAACATCTGCCAGCTCCCTGCCCGTGCTGGTCTCATGGGAGTTGGGGAGCTGCTGGCCTCATGCCGGGGGGTAACCTGCCATTGAACGTTGCACGTTTCCAGTAATGCTCTCTGGTGTGGCCCTTCCCAGGTGTGATACACTAATCCAGGGTCTAGCAATGCATGCTGATGCTTAAGCTTGGTCTTCTTCCATTGACTATATTCTAATATGGGTCCAGTTAGGCCAGGCATGGGAGGCATCGCTGCACGGGAAAGGGCTTCCAGCAACAATCCCGTGTAAAGCCAGCAACCATCTCTGCGGGGGTGCTGGGGCAGATCCTGGTACCTACAAAGCACAGTCCTCCCTTCCTCTGTGTACAGCTGCAGGCAGTTACTGCCATTTACTTGAATTTTAAGAATTAATTACCTTGTCTTAATGAGAGTACTTTCTTAAGCTTCACTCTTACTGGGGAAGAAGGGAAGTGAGGTTTGCTTTACCTGAGCTGGAAAAGGGTACGATTGCTGGAGCCAAGTGTGGTTTTTTTGTGGTGTAAGGGTAACTGATGTGCAAGAGCATCCTTCTCTCCTCAGCCCAGGATTCTGCTCTTTCTCCCTCCCTGCTCCTGCTCCCGTCGCCCATCCCTCTGCGCAAGGGACCTGCTCTTTGCTTCTCTCTGGTGCAGCCTTTCTCTTTGGGCTCATGTTCTTCCCGCAGCAGTCCTGGGCTGGTTTTGTGTGGGAAGGTGGCGTATCCTTCCTTTGCAGAGAGAGCTCTGCACCATTTCTGTGGGGATAGCTGAGATGTCTTGCTTTATTCCAGGCTCCATCGGTGGTTCCTGCATCACGTTTTCTGTTTGCTTTCTATCACGCAGAACAAAACTGCTCGCTAAGTCCAGATCCCTCCCTTCTCATCATGGTTTCTTCTGGGGGTTTTAATTTATTTGATTTTTACATGATAGCTTTTTGTTTTGATTAGGAAAAGAGGGAATAATTTTTTTCTTGTTATTTAAGTATTTTAATGGGACTTATTTTCTTTGGACGTAGGAGAGAAAAAAGTGCTGTTTCATGTCCTTCAAAGGACTGCCTCATTTCGTTTGCAAGGGGCTCTCTGAACTCAGCGAGAGCCCTGGCTGCTGTGACTGGGATGCTGTGACTGGGATGCTGTAAAATTCTACTTCAGCCTTCAGAGCATTTCTCAGACACTTGGAAATGTATTGTCCTTTGACCCCTTTGTCTTCTTCTGGGCCACTGGCTTGACAAAGTTTGTATTCTTCCTCTTCTGGGAGCAAGAATGGAGGAAAACCAGGCTGTAACCTCTGGACTGGGGGTTTGTACTCACCTGGCGGTCACAGCAGGTAGCAGCTGTGGTGAGCGGTGGCGGTGGGACATTGGCCTTCCTCCTGCGGGTGTGTGGGGACCGCTGCCTGCAGTGACGGGGTGGTGCCGGGAGAAAATGCTGGAGCCCGTGGGATGCTTCAGGGGGAGCAGCCCCTCTGCTCTGCGAGCCAGCAGCGTCCCTGTGCAGCATCTTTATGGGTGGTCCAAGGGCAGGGTCCTGCCTAGCAGACAGGACATCTGCTTTGATTTCAGGGGGGTTTGGGGAGTTCAGTAGTGTTTAGTAGAGGAGTGTTGCAGATTGACGCACGTAGCTACGAGCATGTCTGTGGTAGTGACGGCTTTGCTCTGTGAGTAGTTCCACAGCAGCTTTAGTGACAGGAGGCAACGTAGAGGCGATGGAGTAACACTTGCAGGCTGATCTGTGCCCGTGGTGATGAACCACAGGACTGGTAGGACCCTCGCTGGCTTCATCTGATTGTCCTAATGCCATAGTCCCTAGTGCTGCTCCAGGTCACCTGGCGGGCTTGGTGGCACCGACAGGTCCACTTTGATCCCTTGGCACCAGCAGCAGAAGTCCCTTGGATGCCAGCAGTGCTGTCATGCTGTGTTTTGTGGCTGTTGGGTCTGACACTGGGGCCAGGGCACGTGAACCATCTGCATCAGCTCTGCCACAGTTAGCAGGATGCAAAGCTCAGCTCTGAGCTCTGTGAAGAGCTGAGATGGAGCTTTTGGCCACGATGCTTAAAGACACCGGCTCTGATCCATGTCTGTGCCTGCTGCAATGGGAGGGGTCTCGGATCCCTGCTCCGGGAACGCCGACTCCTGCAAATATGCATCTGGAGCAGGAGGTCTTGGGAATTTTGGCTGTCTGTGATGCAGCTGTGACCAAGCCAGATGCTGCCATCGTTGCAGACGTGGCCTGGCAAAGCGTGCACGCGGGACCTGCAGCACCCATGGCTTTCGGGAGTTGTAGTGACCGTTATTGGATGGTCTCACCTCCGTGCAGGCAGGGGCTGTTTTTGTGGAGATAGACAGGACCTTTAGAGTAGTAGTGTCACAGTAGTTAATGTGCCCGTTGACAGTGCATGGTGGTTATTAATTGTGTTTAGAGGCACCATCAGGGTGCGTGGAGCTGTGTGAAGTTTAAAACTCTGCTCTAGAGATTTTACAGGCTCACCCCAATTCCCGCTGAGGGCATCCAGGGTAGGTGGCCGCTCCACGGGGTCACTGTGGAAGAGGTTCTGCTTGCCAGGTCTTGGAAAGGGCTCTTGGGAGACAATGGGACAGAAGTTTTGTTACACGAGAACTCAAGAGCGGGTGACGCATTGACTGCAGTGAGTTGCTGACAAGTGTGGAAAGACACCTGGGTACTGGCAGGGTCTGTGCAACGGACCGTCACACCATCCCCGCCTGAGCTGGGCGCCGTCCTGCCCACGTGCATTCCTACAGCGGGCAGCTCGTCCCTGTCCCGTTCAGTCCTGAAGCAGACACCACGTGTGGATATTAACTCATGGATGGACATGGATGGACAGTCCCCTGGGGCTGTCCATCGGGCGTGAAGCGAAGAGCAGCAGCTCGCTTTCTGCTGTACCCAGACCTCGCTGCTCGGGGCAGGAGCTGATTTTGTGACACCGATGGATTCTCTGTGTGCGGTGAATAAGCAGACTGTTCTACCTCTGGAAAGAGCCACTGTGGTTTCTCAGACTCTAAATGCTGTAGCAAAAACCCTTGGTCTTTCTTCATGGAAGACAGGAGGTCACTCAGAAAATACTTCTCCAAGGAGGTTCTCACAGGACCTGAAGAGTTCAACCTCATTTCATATTCGGGCATTTCCTCCTGAGGCTGAGCCCTGGGAAGCTCAATTCATCTTTGTCATTTTTTTTTACCTCAGGAAAAAATATCTGCTGCCTTCAGGGAAGGGTTTCACTGAAGTGAAGATATCAAGACCTGGTCCATAGCCATGTGAGAAAGAGAATGCTCTAGCACAGGGCTGCCAGAGATCCTGATCTTCAGAAGGTCAGTGGAAACCAGAGGCTCCCGAGACCTCTCGTAATCAGGCCATGCTTAGAAACAGTCATACTCCAGCCAGGGCTGAACATCTTTCTGCAAATGGGTCTCAGCTGCAAAGGTTAGGTCTAATACTGAATTTTCTCTGTGGCTTTGATTTTGGCCCATCTCTCTTCCTCTGTCCTAGGCTGCTTTAAATTCATCCTCTGATAAAGCACGTCTTCTCCTAGGTGATTTCTCTCATCTCTTGCTGCAGAGGATCTAAATAGTAGTTGGCATATCTTGAGATCTGGGTCAAATAAGCTTTGTTACCCTATTCTTCCTTGTCACAGCTGGCTGAATGTTCCAGGAATAGGAGGTCACAAGCAAATCCACCAGCCCTTGGGTGCCAAGTGCATTTCAGAAGGTTGGACGAATGCTTGGGCAAATTATCTCTCAGCTCAGCCTCTGTTGCTCTGCCCTTTTGGGAGGAGTTAGGCTGGATGGGATACTCAGGCCATTCATTCCTTGCAGCTATAACCACCTCCTGCAGCTGTGTTTTACCTAGGGTTAGGCTCTAAAAAAAAAAAAAAAAAAAAGTCCTTATATTTGCAGGACACTTGGGACAGGGGTAAGAGCAATTTGCTAGTAACTATGCAGTTGAAATCTCAAAGTGATGGAGGTGGAGGGTCCACATACACCTGTGATGGAGGCACATCCACCTTCCTCTTTGTGGATGAGCAAAACCCTGGGGCGGGAAGGACCCATCCCAGTACAAAGAATTGTCAGTACCTACTGTGTCTTTCCGACAGTGAATCACTTGCACTACAGCTGAATGTTTGTCTGTTCCCATTCTTTGTTTTGTCCTGGATGTTCTTGGTGAACTGTATTTGGTCTTGTTCATTAGGCTTTTAGTGTAACGTGTGTTTTTAGAGCAATAAAACCTGGCAGCTTTTTATACAAGACACCTGGCTCTGCCTCTTTTGAAGTCCTTAAGTACACGAGACTCATTGGGGAAGCTGCAGGCTGCTGTGGTCCCCTTATCACAGCCCTGGTCTGCCTCTCCCATCCCACCCACCTGCAGCTCCCTTCTCTGGAAATCAAGGCAACACCTTGCAGTCGGAGGCAAAACTGTTTTATTTGTGCAACTACATGATGAACTTTTGCAAAAACAGCTACAGCTGTCAATTCTATTCCAGCCAAGCCCGAGGGCTCTCAGGATGCTTTGGTGGCTGCTGAGCGAAGGACATGCATGGTCTCATGTCCACAGCCCCATGTTCTATTTTCCAGGATTTTATCTCCAGCCTGGCACTGGGTGCCTGGTCCCATACTGTGGGTTGACATGTTGCCCAGAGAGCAACAGCTAGTGTTGAGTGGTGGGAAGAGAAGGTAAAGTTCCAGCTGGAAACTTTTACATCCAAAGCAAGACGATCATTGC